TTTCAAAGACAAACTAATTTAGAAAAAAATAATGTCTATGTTTGATGGAGATTAAAATAAGGTTTTTAGTAAATTTTAATAGAAGTTGATGAAATGTGTGGTTAAAATGTTGTAGATCCCACAAAATATGTGATTAAAATTATGGACTTTGATTTGAATTATAATCTTGATTTTAATTTCACCAAACAACTTTATAGTACCTCTAGAATATTCTTATATTTTAATGAGTGATCTTCCGTGGCCGGTTCAAGTTGTGATTCACCAGTTGAATCAATGATCGGTAAATCGGTGCATTGATCGACTCTGTATCCTGATTGAGCTTTGTCACTATGCCTACAACCAACAGTCTTCTTTTAGCCTATTTTTTGTATCCACATACAAAACCGTGTACCTATAATTTCCAAATTTTGTAAGATGGCATGCGTATATACTTAACTACAGTTGTGTTTATTCTACTTATTTTCTGCTATTAAACTAAGTAGACTTTCTGAGTGACTTGTACAGTTGAACTTGCTACAACGAGACCAGTTCAACACTAGTTCTATGTATATATAATGGGACTTACTGGAAAAATGTTCACGGAAATTTCAATCCTTCTTAAGAATAACTATTTAAACAAGTCGCAGATGAAGATAGTTAGGGGAGTTAAACTAGTGCTTATTGTCCTCTATTTGACAATAATTACAAGCTTCTTATTTTTTTCTAAGTCATTTCCAGTTTCCCCGGGTCAAAAACTCGATATTTCTCAGATTTTCACTACAATAAACCCGACTTATTTATTAATTTTGGTTACTTCTGTAGCTGTTTTGTTCGAGGATTTTCAATCTTATTTATGCAGTGATCAGCTTCCAAGTTCCGTGAAATCCGAGTTGAGATTCAGTTAGCAATGGTAATATTTTTACAAATGGAAATTCGGTTGGTAATGGTAGATATTTACTAATCGAATTTCCAATGGTAATGGTAATATTTTTACCAACGACAATTTGGTTGATAATGATAATGTTTTTTACAAACGGAATTTTTGTTGGTAAAAGGTAAGTTTTTACCAACAGATTCTCCAATGCTATTGAAAAGACCTTTACTTTAAGGAAATTTTGTTGGTAAAAGTTCTACACTTTACCTACGAAATTTTTTTGGGTAACTATCAGCGACCTTCATAATAGCAACGGAATTGCAGTTGATCATTTTTCGTTAGTGAAGATCATTAGCAACGAATATTGTAGCTTCAAGAATGAAAAATTCGTACTTGAAACCATTTTTTTTAGTGTAAAACTCTTGGCCACTAAAATATTTAAAATAATTTAAACTTGATTTCGAGTGTGGATTAGAAAATTACAATAACAGGGAAAGAAGCAGATCCTGTTAGGTAAGAATTAAAATTAGATTTTTTGTAAATTTTGATAGAAATTAATGAAATGTGTGGTTGAAAAGTTGTAAAAGCCGTTAAATATATGATTAAAATTAAGTATTGACTCTGATTTAGATTAAAATCTAGATTTAATTAATTCCTACCAAACAATGGCATAATATAAATAAATACATTTATCGTCACTAACAATAAACATTTTAAAACACTTACATCTTATTTCAAAGACAAACTAATTTAGAAAAAAATAATGTCTATGTTTGATGGAGATTAAAATAAGGTTTTTAGTAAATTTTAATAGAAGTTGATGAAATGTGTGGTTAAAATGTTGTAGATCCCACAAAATATGTGATTAAAATTATGGACTTTGATTTGAATTATAATCTTGATTTTAATTTCACCAAACAACTTTATAGTACCTCTAGAATATTCTTATATTTTAATGAGTGATCTTCCGTGGCCGGTTCAAGTTGTGATTCACCAGTTGAATCAATGATCGGTAAATCGGTGCATTGATCGACTCTGTATCCTGATTGAGCTTTGTCACTATGCCTACAACCAACAGTCTTCTTTTAGCCTATTTTTTGTATCCACATACAAAACCGTGTACCCATAATTTCCAAATTTTGTAAGATGGCATGCGTATATACTTAACTACAGTTGTGTTTATTCTACTTATTTTCTGCTATTAAACTAAGTAGACTTTCTGAGTGACTTGTACAGTTGAACTTGCTACAACGAGACCAGTTCAACACTAGTTCTATGTATATATAATGGGACTTACTGGAAAAATGTTCCCGGAAATTTCAATCCTTCTTAAGAATAACTATTTAAACAAGTCGCAGATGAAGATAGTTAGGGGAGTTAAACTAGTGCTTATTGTCCTCTATTTGACAATAATTACAAGCTTCTTATTTTTTTCTAAGTCATTTCCAGTTTCCCCGGGTCAAAAACTCGATATTTCTCAGATTTTCACTACAATAAACCCGACTTATTTATTAATTTTGGTTACTTCTGTAGCTGTTTTGTTCGAGGATTTTCAATCTTATTTATGCAGTGATCAGCTTCCAAGTTCCGTGAAATCCGAGTTTTTGACTCCATTAGTGGAATCATACATATATCTCACTCCTCTTGTATTTGCACTGGAGGATCAAGATCTTGATAATAAGTATCGCGATAGTGAAGATGACTTTGTTCCTCGTTTAGTTCACATGAAGTACGCAGATGAAATTCGTAAACATGAAGATCATGATCACGATCAAGATCAAGATCAAGATCATAACAATCACGATTCCAACGGCGAAGAAATTGTTGATTACTCGTGTTATGATCATCGGTATCATGAGTATGATGCTGATGACGAATATAATGATGATGACAACGAGGATGATGATTTCAAATGGAGAATAGAAGAATTCATAGGGATGATGAAAAGGGGATGGAAGGAGGAGATGCTGGAAGAACGAAGGCTTCTTTACATGTTGAGCGAGAGTAGTTCTACACGAGGCTCCCAGATCACTATGGCCGACTTTTATTTCAGTTCGACCAGTCATTCACATAGTCCAAAAATATACCATTACGCTCATGAGCAAGTAGCTGATAAATGGCAGATCGTATCTCTCTATGGCTAGCTGACTAGCTCCATGCAATTTGCATAGTGTTGTAAGTAGGGTTTTCATTTCTTTTCCATAAATTGAAACTTTTATCCTTTCTTAATTTTATTTTACTTTTCTCTTCTCTTTTTGTGGAATTGTAAGAGAAGAAAAATTTAAAGACTCATAACCGACGAGCATGAGGCTTTATATTGTATACAACTAGATGTAAATATTTCTTGTAATTGTGTTGAGTATAATTTCTATTACTTTAGCTCGATTATTGTCATATTAGAACATCGTACCGTTATAGTTTATGCAACTTCTAATTAGAACTCTTGCAAAAACATTTATCTAAAGTATACGAGTACTATTTTAATTATATATATATATATATATATATATATAGACACACACACACAGTGATAAGACACTATATTTTAAAATAAATTCAAGATGCATGTAAAGGGTTATGTCCAAAATCGAGATTCTTTGAGAGAAGGTAAGCCCTTATCATGAATTGACTCAATCAAGGGCCTCAAAAAATGATCAAGAACGAGTCTTGACTTGACAATTGCACAAGTGCTTAAGGCTCCTCACGGTTACGGTCACATCCTATATCATATTAGGCAAGTAACTTGTTCTCCCTTTAACATAGGTTTTGAGTAAAGTCATTCAACGTTCAAAATTCCAAATCCAAATTTTTTTTTTTTTTTTACAATAATAATATCAAAACTTTCCAATCAAATTCCTGAACGTCAAGCAGAAATCGACGAAACATTTTCTATCTAATCGACCTCAAAACACGATTTAATATAGAGAGCAATACTATTTAATACCACTAAATATTACAACACTAGTTTGTGTAGCACTAGTTAACATCAAATTAGAGGCATAATTAAAAGTGTCGCATAAAATCTTTGTTTAGTCCGTGTTTGACAAATCTTTTGAGATTATAACATGATGGAACCCATGAAAATGCGTCGTTAAAAAGTGAAGAAAAGTTCTGAATCCTATAAGTTACAAAGTTTGACAAAATTATAATCTTAAACAAAAAACTTTGCCAAATAGAGATTAATTAGACTATATATCACATTATTGTGAATAAATATAAACATGATTTATTATTTATACAATGATGTTGAAGTTAAAGCAACCAAAACTAAAATCCTACTTAATTTACATCCCACAGCTCATCAAAGCCAACAAATATGTGGGACAAAAGAATCTTCTTAAATTTCAAAGATTAGGTTAAATATAAAATTAGACCTGTTTACTTTGACTAAAAAAAAAAAAAAAAAAAAAACAAATTTTTTAAATTTTTTTTTGGGGGGATTGGCCAAATACATCTTGAAAAGGTCAAGCATATGATCCACCCACCCCTTATATCTTTTCTATGGCAACATCCATGAATTGCCATCAATCCCGACAACGTTGTTTTCATAACATGAATTTCCATCAATCCCGACAACGTTGTTTTCATAACATGAATTTCCATCAATCCCGACAACGTTGTTTTCATAACATGAATTTCCATCAATCCCGACAACGTTGTTTTCATAACATGAATTTCCATCAATCCCGACAACGTTGTTTTCATTAGAGTTCGCCAAAAAAACTGTAGAGAAAGGTTGTTTGTTTATTTAACTATTCGACCCCTTTCAATTTCAGTTACGCAACGATGTTTTGCATGTATTTATTTTGCATAATATGTCCAATTATTGTCTAGTTTTGGTTAAGCGTGTCCAGCAAAATACCTAAAATAGTAATGAAAAATATTAAGATATAAAATAAAATAAAAAAAGGAAAAAGGAAAACACATGTTTTATACAGCTTAAATAATTTATTATAATTCAAATCAAAGTCAACAATTAATTTTAACTACAACTTTTATAAACTTTTCAAACACATATTTCATAAACCTTTATTACAATATACTACAAATTTGACTTTTTAACTCCATCAAACAAGAGCTTAAACTCATCAATTATTGTCTTATCATATCGAGTGTTGTGTACCAAACATATTGATGCAGCTCAAGATAAGTCGCAACGTCTTAATCCCTTATTTAGTGCTTTTATTTACATAATTATGTCCCTTTATTAAGTAGGATCTTATATTTGCCATTTGAACCCAAAGTTGTTAACTTTCAACAATTCACTCCACCTTTCAACTCTCCTTCCTAATAAACAGACAAGGAAAAAAGGATATCCGAGAACCTGGTAAAATACACTAATGCATGATGATGATCTGTTTTAGATGTATAATGGGAACAAGATGAAGATTTTGAAGAGTCCATAAAATGGTTGAACTGATTGCTGTCCATGAGATTACTATCCCTGCAAGGATATATTGATGTTTGCACTGGACTTGCTCGAGTTTTCTGGAGTGGGAACAGCTGCCCAATTATTCATCTGGGTCGTAGATTGAGGCACCATATTGCCAGCGCTGAAGCACTTATTCTCCACATTGGAAGAACGAGGGATACCAACGGGGATTAATGCATTCATATTCAATGCTGGTTCTGCATTCGGCTTCTTGGGTTTTAACTGGGGGTGGCCGCTCGGTAGAAAGCTGCCCACAATCACCTGATATAAATTTGGAGAGAAAAATGAGAATGAAAACAGGAAATCTGATACATTAACATCGTGTCTTAAATCAGGATAATTTGCATTCGTCGTCCACAATGTAAATCCCCATTTGCACTTTGATACGCAAACTTTGTTTTCTCGTCACTAAACTCCTCCACAGTTTCATTAACAGGCGCAGATGGTCCATATTGAGGATTTGCATTAAAAATACCGTTAAGTTGATGCAAAAAGACTCCTATAACCTTAAATAAGCAAACAAAGGTTGAGGGTATTGTTGTTGTTTTACATCAACTCAATGGTTATTTCAGATGAAACCGTAGGTGGGGTAATTTGCACATAATATGAAAGGTTGAGGAGCGTATGTTCGAGGGATAAAAGGTTGAGAATAGAAGTAGATGGAACGTGCAATTTTAACCTGATTCATTTGACTTGGAAAACATAACCAAAAGTACTCAGGAGGCCTTTCAGAAATTAGGAAAAGGGAGAAGATACTTTTGCACCAGCAAAAATAGTAAACTCCACAAAATCTTATAAGCAGTTGAGAGACAGTGAGAGAGTCGAAGAATTACCTGTACAGGACTAGCAGCAATCAAACCTTCCATAACACGACCATCAGGACTTGCCAAAGAGGTGCTCATGACGCCAGATCTAAACTCTTCTGTGTCAAAAGGAGTAAAAGATCCAGACAGAGGGAGAATTTCAAACCGACCCTACAAATGAATTATAGGAAGAATCCCTCTGGTTACCAAATTATACGGTACACATGAACTAGGAGAGAAATAGCAGAATCCAATACAAACAGGGAAGAACATAGACTTTGAACTGATAGGATAACCGTTGGTTAGGTCGAAGCCAACACAGATAAGTGTAGTTGGACTAGAAACATAGCTAAGGAGGTTTTAGGAGAATCTAAGGTAGAAAACCACCGATAAGGAAACATGGCGGAACGAGAATGTCCAGATAGCAGTTAAGAATAAAGAAGGATGCTACAGAAACTGGTCAAAAATATAAAAATTCAGAAGCTTTAGGAAAAAACACGTTCGCAGAATGGGAAGACGGACTCATTCAGGAATTCCATGCGGAAGAAATGAAATTATGGGAGAAGGCAATCGAGCACAATTTAAGGTGTAGCTCAAAAGCCTCAGGAAACCAGTTTACCTTTATGTTCGGGAGATCTACTATCCATTTATGGGTTTAGGAGATTGACAAAGAAGTATAAAAACAGTTAGAAGTCCTTAACTATTCAGGGCATACCTCATAAGTCAAGGTATTCCCAGATGAATTAGGCTGCCGAAGTGTAACACTTGAGATCAAACCAACAGCCAAAATAATGCAAATAGCTCGAGGTCCTTCTAAAGAGAATGACATAATCCTATTTGATACATCCGAAGTAAGCAACAAAATTAATTAGAAATATTCAATGTAATATGCACCAATAGATAGATGTCATAAAGGAACCACAAAAAGCCCTGGTAACAAATTCTTAATCCGGAAAACTTCAACCAGTTGTGCCTGTCTAGACAATCCAGGCGGATGCTATTCAAATTCCCTTTTTACCGATAGCTAGTGAGATGTTAGCTATGTCAAGAAAAGTCATATATTAAGTTATCAACAATAATGTGCTTATTGGTTTTAATATACATCTCTTTCCTTGAAATTATACAACAGAGTTAGAACAGTTAGAAATTTCTCCCTCTCTCTTCGCAATCTTCCCCTATAACCAAACTCAGCAACCCAAAAGGAAAGGCCAGGAGCTCTCTTATATCTGTAGTACCACTACCTACAACAATATTTTTAGGTTCCATCTTTTCACTTTGCCTTGAGTGGAATAGGATGCTTATTTGTTAGAGCCAAAGTAGTACCACGTAACTAGACGTGGTATAATAGAGAATACTAGATCTGAGAAACAAACAAAGAAAGAAGATATAGCCCCTGTTTGATAGAAATTAAAATCTATATTTTTATCAAAGTTAAAGTCAATAATTAATTTTAACCACATATTTCATGTGATTTACAACTTTTCAATCACACATTTCATCAACTTTTATTAAAATCTGCTAAAAATTTGATTGTAATCTCCACCAAACAAGGACATAATAAATTATTCGGACCTGGAATAACAAAAGATGTTTAGATACCAAAATAATAATAATAATAATAATAATAATAATAAAAGCCTAAATGAAAGATATACGAGTTTAGTTGCATAAATAATTTAGCAACAGTTGTTGTGGGATTGGGCACGGCACAGAAGGGAAGAGAGAGAGAGAGAATTGACAATCACTGGCCCTGTGATTCCAAAGGACAACATGAAGTGGAAGGAACTTCCATATAAATGATGAAGAATGTCCAACCTTATTGAATGGAATAAAATTAGCAAAAATGTGAACATTTTAACAAACATGGATGCAGATCTTCCTCGAATTTGACATTGTTTAGCTTTTCTTTGGCGATGGAAGATGTATTCCATTCCCACATATGAATGAAAACATTACAGAATTCATTGTTGGGAGGGCATCTCAAAATATTTTACTCACCAAGCTTCAACATTAAATTTTTTAATCACTAGAACAATGCCTCACAGGCATTAATAACCATATGCAACAAGTTCGACCGAGAAAGTGTTGATAGGGAGAATTGAACTCGTGACACCAAAGATCTTCATGCTCACTTATTCCACCAGCTTAACCACCCACGACAGGCTATAATAATTTTTAAATCTTGATATCATTATTGCTGATATATTAAAAATTTGAATTAAATTATGGGACATATGGGGAAAAGTAGTTTCTTTTACATATTAAATTTAATTTTTTTTTTCTTCTATTTAAAGCCGAAAAGCAATGTAGGGGATGGGGGACCAAAGGTTGGTTAGATAAAATTTTTGGAACACCTTTTTCTTTGCTGCTGACATAGAGAGTTCATTTATTTATTTATTTATTATTTTATTTTATTTCATTATTATTTTTTAATGTGAGTGCGAAATATATGCACTAAAGAGGTTAGGGTGGTTAAATAAGCGTAATCAAACGGTTTGGTTAGATTCACCGTGAGAATTGGCTCGTGATTGCCTGTTGGACGAATCGACTTGTGAGTCACATATACTCATCAATTTTTATTTTTCAATTTTTACTTTTTATTTTTTAATTCAAACAAAAAATGAGCGATTCACATAAATATGTTGCTACTCGACTCAAACTCACAACTTGGTTCGCAAGTGAAATGGCTCATCCCACTTTCACTCCTACTGAAAGTTGGGATTGATTAACTAACATTCCAGATTGTTAGGCATGTTCGATTTTTATGTGCCAAAAAAATTTGAAAGTAAATCACGATCAAAAATTGTTTAATCGCTAAGTCTAGCTTGGTGTGTGTAATATTTGACGATTTTAAGTTTTTTGTGTGTATAATTAAGCACTTAATAATGTTGCAACGAGGCTCAATCACACATTGACTTGTTTTTGGCTTCTTCAGAATGTAATGAACTCTACAGAATTGTAACATTAAACATTTGTTTGTTACCCAGTATTTTACATTCTATAACATAATTTTTTCCACAGTACTCATTTTTCATTAAAATAATATTACACATAAACTCAAAACTTGTTCTTATTTTTCAACCACATATTCTCTATATTCCATAATACATTTTTCAAAAATAAAGGGGCTCAAACACACCCTAATATAAGTGGTTAATAATGTTGAACAAAAAATAAATTTAAATGAGGTAAGTAATGATTGCTTTGTAGCACTCTTTCGTAAATTTACAATCATAACATCTACTTTAGAGGTCTTACTATCGAACAAATCTGAAACAAACTTTTTCAGCTATTTTTTGATAAAAAGTACTTGTTAACTTTAGCCGAAGAATCAATACTTGAAACACAAACACTTTCTCAAGGTCATAAGTGCTTTTAGGTTTTGAAAAACACCCTTCCAAACACACTCTTAGCCAAGGGTAGACCGGGCTGTGCTATAACCCATCCCTCCAGCCCAAATGTTAATTAGAAAAAAATTGAAGTAATTTTTATTTTATTTTTTATGTGTGAAATTTATTTATTTGTGTATTAGCCTGTCCTGAATTTTTTCAAAAACAAAGCAACATTTTGCAAGTTATACCATAAAATAGAAGTCAATAGAAGCCAAAAAAGTCACCCGAACAAGAATCCGAATGGTTAAACTACGAGGCATATGGGAGTAGAGAAAACTTAGTAACAAGCATAATCACAAATGAAAATCTTGGACTAATGGGGAGGCTCATGATCCAAGTCGACTTCTAATAGGTTAAACTCGTGGCCGCGAGGACATTACATGTAGCTTAGGACTGATGAAACCAGCTCGTCTTTCCTCGAAAGAATACTCAACATCTTCAGTACAGAAAGGTGTCGCCGGAGTCATTACTGTCTGCATTTTGATCGACGCTGTTGGTGGAGTTTCCAGCGCTGCGATTGGCATGGTTTTTGGAGTTCTGCTTTCATTAAAATTGGAAACATTCTTCTTTGGACTTACCACTGGGGTTTTATAAACATTTTGCATATCCTGGAGTTCTGCACTTGTCACATTCTGATCCTGAATATTAGCAGGGTCGACATTCGGCGATAGAGGAGACAAGGGCTTCCGAATCAGCGTTGATTGTAAATTTGATGAATTCCCACCGGAATTGTTGTTCTTGACTACATAAAATTGACACCAAAACAATTGATACACAACTGTTAGCATATAACAAGACATAGACATGTATAGTTAGTTAGTTAGGATTTAGCAGTCCCAATATAGCAGGTTGTGCACATGCGATGTCAGTTGGACGTTCAGAGCCTAAATAGAACTATACACTTCGACGTTCTATACATGAATTAGACTGCCTCAATTTTCCTTCATATATATTTTTAGGACATTCAGGGCCGTTTTCTTTGAGACACGGACTGAGAGCCATAAGATCACTTAGTAATTATTTTTCCTCTTCATAGTCAAGCATGCCGCAACGAAAAATAATGTGTTTCTGGTGTGTAGCTTTATTTTTTTTTTAAATTTCATTTTGCTTAATGCTACTCTCATAATAGGGATTAAAGCATAGTTCGTAAGATAATTGTGGTTTTTCAGTATCCACCATTTACGAAGCCCCAAATGAAGAATCAATCCAACTACCATTGCATATGAAAGGAACTCATCAAAGAAAAGTTCTATCTTCTAATAAATATTACCAGAAGAGTGATTGCTAAAACCACTTTGGTTATGGCTGCGTGAAGTTTGCTGCTTCATATGAGAATGCGACGAGAGACCAGCTTTCTTTGTATATGCATTTTGAAGAACTGTCCCTCCTAAAGAAAGTCTCTTATCGGTCACACCTCCTGTTGAAGGTCTAGAATTCTTCTTCCCACTGTGTGATGGACTCGGTTTTGATCCAAAAAGTGCTTCCTTCTCTGCTATAAACTGTCCTTGAAGCTTCTTCTGGTCCTAATATGCACATTCATGATTATAACATTTAGTTGCAGTAACTCAAAACTAAATCCAACATCAATATTTGTTCAAATAGTAAGGATACCCTCTGCCTTTGACGTTCTTGCTCTTTCTGCAGCTTTAAGACATGGTACTTTTCGAGCATAGAGACAAGACCAACCTAGATGGTAAGAAACAAAAAATCAGCCATAATAGATAGGATAGTTCATCAAAGTATCAGAGCAAGGTTCCAAGTTCAAGTCTTGTCTTGACCCATTTATACTACACCTTTTGATGAAAAATTCATCTACCTTGCACGTGAGAGGCGTCTTGAATACTAAAATTAAATTAATAAACACGTTCCTCTTTAACAACTGAAACTTTTAGAAAAAGTGATTCAATATACATAGGTTGCCAAAAGAAAAGACAAATATGAGATCTGTTGAGGGATATATCCCACATTCAATAAAATTAAATATAAACCTACATAAGGGTTTGGATTATTATCTTAACAATGCTAACATTTTAAGATTGAACCTCAAATCTTAACACCTTTTTTGTACAGATAAAAATTTGAATTTAATCTCAAGTCAAAATCAACAATTAATTTTAACCATACATTTCATTGAGCCTACAACTTTTCAACCACACATTTCATCAACTTTTATTGATATTACTAAAAATCTGATTTTAATCTACACCAAAAGGGCTTCATATCGTATCAGAGTCAATTAAGTTCCAACAAACAATTCAATTTGATTAAGATTCAAACGAGTACATGAATTTCAAGATTAGGTTCCTCAAAAGAGCTATCATCTTACAAGACATAGCAAGGAATAAAATTCCATATCGAACAAACATACAAATATAAACCAACATATAAGGGCTTATACTATTTCTTTTAATAAGTTTGCTCTTTTAAGATGAAATGTTCCTAATGAGATCAGTTCGTCAAGTAAGGTACTTCTAGCAAGAGAAATACTTACACCATCATACAAGAACTCAAAACCTCTTTCTTTCTCCCAAGCTTTCAATTTAGACTTCAATGTTTCCACCATCCCTATGAAACCAACCAAACCAAAGTCACTAATTTCATCTATTCAAACACATACAGAAATGAGAGAAAAGTGATGTTGCTCCATAAGAATACCAAATAAACTATCAAAGGTTATCTTTCCTGAATCTCAAAATAAAAAAGAAATTATTTTCTCATGTTCATCATGCACATTAACCCGTGATCTTACCTCCATGATATTCTGATGGGAGAGAAACTTAATGAGATCAACAAATATTTATTCTAAAAGCAGATGCTCTACTGTTCATTGACCCTCTATTTAAAAAGAAATCAAATTAACTCCTCTCGCCATATTACTAAATTTAACATCCTGAGTCTAAGTAAAGGAGATTGCCAATCTCTAGAACCTGGCATTGTTTTATTGGTTATTTGGGTCTCTCAGAATTGGAAATTTAATAAACCTGAGGCAATTGGCAAAGCTACTCATATACCATTAAATACCATATAGAACATATGACTCCCCCAACACATTAAACATATTTCCCACCTCACCACAATTTTATTAAAAAGTGAGATATGTACCTGGAATTTTGCTAATAAGAGCTCGAGCTTTCTCAGCACGCTTTAGCATAAGATGGGTACCTCTCCCAGCATTATAACGATTGTCATCCTAAATTAGGATCATTTTAGATAGCGAGTAATAGAGATGAAAACAGATAAAAACAGTAGTACAAGTCATTTCACTTGAGCAACATACAACCCACCCTATTATACTCCTCCAGCCAGCACTCCTCTTCACAAGCAGCCAACCATTTTTCAACTATATCTTTTCTACTAAAAGCTTCCTCTTTAACCTTGGAAATATGAATCTCCAGTTGTTTCAGTAGATACAATGGATCAATCGTTCCTGCAAGATGTACAATTCAATAAATAGTGATTAAACTGTCTAGGTCCATCCAAACAAGAATGTTCTGATTCAGCTGGATTTCAGTTTTCTCAAGGACATCCGTTGTTTGCAATCTTCTTTTCTGGAACCAGGCCTTTACCTCTATTGTAATGCAAAGGAACGAGACTCTTACCACACTCTATAGTTTCAATAGAAAAATCTATTGAATTCTGTTCCCCAACAACAATGTGTGACGCCCTGCATATGTCCTCTAAAACTGATCTCTTCTTCAAGAGAACCTCCTTCATTTTGCTCGATTTCATTTCTTGCAGCCTCAAAACCTCTGCTTCAGCCTGGAAAGAAGAAACATTTCATGTATCTTACTACCAAGGATGAAAACTTAATTGATCACAATATTCGAACATGTAAAGAAAATAATAAACAATTGTGAGTTGCCCGAGTTGGTGCTAGTTAATATATTTTCCTAATAAGAAAAATAACACACGATGACATACATGATTAATGAAATCCATAGAGAGAATATTCGGCTCAATTATCTCAGCTTCAGAGGCAGCTATATTTTTTGTAACATTCTGAAACATTTTTTGCTCCTCAACTGGTGTATCCATCAAATTCCAGAGCTCTACCATGGTTGTGGCAAGATCTTGAAGCTATAAAAGCTACAAGGGTCAGGAAAAGAAGGTAAAAGGCTTTTATGAAACAAAAAGGAAAAATAACATTAACACCAACCCTTTGCAAGCGCTGGATCTTCACATCTTCAAGTCTATTGATAGTGGCAGACAATCTTTCAATTGTATCTTCACTTATACTTTTAGGACCACATGAATCGTCCAAACTTTGATGAATCTCGTGAATAATTAATCTGTAATCTATCCCAACCACCATACATAGAGATTTCAGAGAATTCAACTGGCTGAGCACCAGCTTCTGACGATCACTCTGTAAATAGATTCAATATACTTAATTAGAGAAGAAGTCAGTGTCAACACTCTTAACAGTTGTAGAACTACCAAACTACAAGAACTTCAATAAATACAAAATTAAAACTGAACAGAAAGAATAATGGAAAAGAACCTTCTCTTTTTGCAGTGATAGCAACTGATTATGTAAATCTTCTAATCAGTTCAATGACAAATCACTTTCCTCGTTAGCAATTGTATGCCGATACTCTTCTGCGGATCCACGCAGCTCGTTTGAGGTACTATGTATTTGTTTCAGAACCTCCGTAAATTGATTCTTTCTCTCAATTTGTTTCCTTCTCATCTCTTCTAGCCCCGACATAACTGCTTGAAGCTCTTTCTTCAAGCTTTTAAAACTCTGCTCAAACAGCAGATACGGTCAAGAATTATGCGAACTACTTTGAAAATTTCCATTGAAGATTTTAAATAATGTTGAAAAAGCATGTTCTGTTTCTTATTTTCTGACCTGCCTTATTTTGAACAGGTTGCTCTCCCAATGTTACCGAGATGCAAGCAAGTTCTGCCCCAGAGTTGGCAATTTCTTGCCGTAGCTGAGCTCTGAAGTGGCTTGCCTGGTCCACTTTTCTTCTATATGCATCTAAACACTGTTGTTCAAGTTCAAAAAGCATTTTGTCCCTTTCCTTGTCCGGCTCCCCAACTTCATTCCATATTTTCTGATTCCAGCAACAATGGTGAGATACAATGATGAAGATACAATACACAAACAAACTTGTGCAAAAGATACAATAGAGGGACAAATAATTTGAGATAACCTGTAGCTCAGATATAAGAGAACCACAAGTTGTTTCCATATGCAAACTCTGATCAATATGGTGGTTGTACATGTCTTATCAATTTTCCTTAGGAATAAGAGGACAAAGAAACCATAAGGTATAAATTAAAAAGGATGTGAAGATATATATGAATTCGGCCAAATAAAAACCAAATACTTCTCTGGAGAAATGGGAAGACGTGTGAATAGCCAAGCAAGAAATCATCAGGCTTTCTCAATGGGAAATATCATGTTTATTAGATATAAAGCAATGGTTATGTTGCACCATCTCAGGTGCTGGTTATACTTTACAAAGGATTTTAGCAGGAAAATAAACAAATTATAATCATAATTTCGTTTTTCCATGCTCAAATCTCAAACTGACAGTAAGTGTCCATGCCTAATTCAAGCAAACAAATCAGAGCATACAGTTTTTCTTACCTTCAATTTTTATCCTTATACATCGAATTATCTTCTAAAAATTTGCTAAAACTCTCCACAAAGTTCCACTCTGCTCATGCAACACAACAATGAAAACAAACTCAGCCTCATTCGCCACTAAGTTCGAGATTTGTTACATGAATCATTTTTCATCGTTCCATTCGATATATTACTAGATATAGGAGATCTAAAAACAACTAGATCATTAACAATTATAGTAGGTGATGTTAATTTTTAGTTGACTCTCCCTATTCTGCTCACTAAAATAATGCACTATCGTGAAAGGGGAGCTTTTTTAAGTAGATACAAAATATGTCACAACCACTCAAGTTGGCAATCCTCAATTTATCCTCCCTCTCTCAGTTGAATTACATTTTTCCCATTTCAGTGAGAATTCCCTCCACCAAAGAACAAAACTTAGTGCTTGTTTGATAAGAATTTTGATAATTGATTTTTTGACCGTTAGAGATAAAGTGGAACCTACCTGTGAGAAGAATTCAAAAATGACAGTTGAAATAGTGAAATAACGGTAAAAAAATTGATTTTAATTGGCTTAAAATCTATACCAAATAAGCTCTTATTCTATGAGAAGTTTCATGACCATAGAACAATAAAAATAATAATACTTCTTGAATTAACAAATACTATTTTCTTGCAAATGTGAGCACTAATTAATATCCAGAAATAGTTTTTTTTTTGTTTTTTTGTTTTTTTTCAAATAAAAGAACAACAAATTGACGCCTATTAGTTAATAATCAAATAAAGATGGAAAAAAAAATATAAAATTCAAAAAAAAAAAAAATACAAATTTCACATGTAATACATCAAAACAACCCATTTTTCCTTAAATTAAGTCTCCATTTAGAAAAAAGGGAAAACTACAAACGCGCATAAATATAATGAAAAGCACATTTTGAACAATATGTAAATGGAACACAAAAACATATGATCAGTACATGCACGCATAAATATATGCATTTACACAGATAATCACAGTAATAAAAACAGAATTGTTGCATATTAAGCAAAGTAATAATCAGTAATAAACCCAGTTTAATGCCTATTAGTGAAATGAAGCAAATTGTTTACTTCATTCACAATACAGCGTGAACTTGGCCCCACAACAAAATGGATGGTTCAGAAACCAAACCTAAGAATGAGCGGCTTCTTGATCACAGTCGCCGGAGAATTATTTACCGAGGGGGACTGATCATCATACCAGTCTTGCTTCTTTTTCATAAATTTTGTAAGAGGATACTCTCGGTTCTAGATTATTTATGTCGATTGAAATGATTTGAAATGCGTTTTCTTGTATTAATTTTATTGAATTCTTGAATTTGAGCGTGTTTTTGAATTTCAAAAAAAATTTCCTTCCTTGCTTTCTTTATTGGGAAATTTGCACCGGTCCTAACTTAGCCCCCTGTTTATTTCCATTATTTGTTCATTTTATATGATCATTATTCATTATATCAAATTATTATATTTAACTTTTTATTCCTGGAGTTCGTAATGACTATATTTTTATTCTTATTTTTATATTAATGTGTACCAGACGGAGTCTTATTGTGCAAAAAGCAAATTAATTTTAGAGGCTGTTTTAGGGAGATTAAAATGTAATTTTTAATAGATTTTAATAGAAATTTTTGAAATGTGTAATTGAAAAATTGTGGAAATCATGAAAGATTTGGTTCATATTGATTGTTTAACTTTGGTTTAAATTAAAATCAGATTTTAATCCAAATCAAATAGGAGCTTAATCTTTAAAACCTAGCAATTACTCATTAAATTTTTATTATAGTTGTACAATTAATCTTGAACGAAGAAATTGTCTATCATTTTCAAATTATCTTTAGCCCCTGTTTGGCTCCCATTTTGTGAAAATAAAAATGAAAATGGATGAAATAAAATTTTTTTTTTAAATCAGTGGTTGAAAAAGAAGGAATTTTTTTATTTACATATAATATTATCTTATGAAAGATTGTGCACTTAAAAATATGAAAAAAAAATGAAATGTAATGAAATAGAAATTAATAGGGCCAAACGAGGCTAAGACTCTCACGCATCCTTAGATATTGTTATCTATCTTGTGCTGGTATCTAAAATTTTAAAGTGGGACATATTTTATGAAATACGTGACGATTTAATAAAAATGTAAAAAAAAAAAAAATTGAAATAAAATAAATTAACATTAAAAATTAATTGTGCAACTATATATTAAAGTTTGAATCAACCAACTCATTTTAAAAATCTGGATAAACTTTATTAACTTATATTTTTTTAGACAAAGTTAAATATTAATTGTTATTTCTCGCCAGTGATAATCATGTTACAATGTCTTTAATATTTTGAAATTGTAACTTGGACCTCTATTAGTTACAATGTTCTTGTTTGATTTAAATAAAAATCAGATTTTTGGTAAATCTAGATAAAATTTGATAGAATGTATGGTTAAAATTAATGGATCTAATGAAATATTGATTAAAAATTAAAATTAATTGATGACTTTAACCTGATTTAAGTCAACTTTTGTAGATGAACCAAATGGGGACAATGTATATAATTTTATTTTTTTTAAAATTTAAATTGTACCCTATGTTAAATCTTGTTATGACTTATTAACATTGTTAAAGCAAATGTAATTTTTCTGAAAAATAAACAATACACAAATTCTACCACTTTCCCTCCTCCTCCTGCCATGAACGATATGAAAACAATCCACACTACACCACCATGATGAAGAGAAACCATCTCCTACATACCGAGCCCTAAATTCTTTTCTCGTAAATACAAAAAATCCTTTCGAGCTGAAATTTTCAATTTAAATATGAAGATGAAAAAAGAAGCATAATATCAACCTATTAGGCACGAATCTTCACCGTGTAATTATCCCATCAAATAACTCAAAGGACTCGGCCTCGAAGAAACTTGACTAGGGTTGTCAAAATGGCATGACCAAATTGGTTGGTCCTTTCAATACTAGGTTCGAGTCGGCTTGTTCACAGACCGACTCATTTCTAGGAATGTTGGCCCAACACAACCAGCTTGTCCAGCCTAATGATTAGCAATTCTAATGATTTAAACCTTAAATTATTTCGTATCTAACATGCTTTTGCTTGTTCTTAAAGCTGTTCAACAAATTCATTACGTCCGACAACTAACTTGCCTTGTGTCCGGGCGACATCCCATAATTTTAAATACATTTTGCCTATAGAAAATTTGAACTTTTCCATTTTTGTAATTCCTAGATTTTGACCACACGAGTGGAAAAGGGTCCCACATCCTTGAATACATAAGTATACATTAGATTATGGGATTTTGTTGTTTAGAAAGTAAAAGACAGCCATTTTGTCAAACGTGATTTGAGGTGGAGTGTTTTCAAATTCTATTATTATGGTCTGTTTAATTGTAAAGATGAAATTTGGATAAAAAAAATTAAATTTTAGGGAATTGAATTGTTTAGAAATTATTTTCTTGGGAATTGTAAATTATTGTGCTTGATTGGTATAATTTTCCACGTGAAAAATGTTAAAATAAAAGTGTTTTTTAGTGCTCGTTTGGCTTTATTTTATATGAAAATTGTCAATTAAAGAGATAAAATTTACTAGTACTGGGGATGAAATTTGTTTCCATTGCCAAAAAATAAAAAAAAATTCAAGAAAATTATCTATCTTTTGATATTCGTTTGACTTTGTTTTACATGAAAATTGTCAATTGAAAGGATGAAATTTATTACTATAATTCTTAAAATTTGTTTCAATTGCAGGAAAAAAAAAGATGTCAAAACATGGAATTTCAATTTCCACCATTTTGGTGGGAATTTATATTCCACCATTTGGTGGAATTTGCTTATGTGGCAACAAAAGATGGAAAAGGAATTTCACGTCAAATTTGTGCCATCAAACACATAAAAGTTTCCATGGAAAATATAAAACAAGGCCTTATCTTACTTTCTTGAGATTTTGTTGGAGTTCATACTCCCAACTCGTGGTGTAATTGAACTAGTTTTGCACGATGAAGTTCTTGATACTTTGGTTAACTAGCTGAATTTCAACTCGAGTTAAATGATTGGTCTTGCTTTTTCGTACTTTTAACTTATGTACTATGGGTAGTCGACCTAGCCTATTTGGTTTGGATGCTAGTTTTATTTTCCTTTTTTTTTTTTGTACGTGCGAAGTGCGCCTCTAAAGCGCCCAATGCGTACTTTGCGACGTGCGCGTGCCGGGACCGGGACCGGGACCGGGTCCGGGGAATGGTCCGGGGAATGGTGCTAGTGGTGCGAAGCACCACTCTAGTGGTGACTAGCCTTTGGCTAGTTTGCTAGCCTTTGGCTAGCTAAAGTTAATCAAGTGGTAGGTAACTTATTAGATTATATATTATTTACACAACCCACTATATAAACAAGACTATTTTCTTGTTCATGTCTTGTTATCTTGATTTCTAGGTGTTACATGTCCTCCATATGTATAAGTGCTTGTGGTAACTCCAATTTTAATTGGCATATTCAAGTGTACTTCTAAGGTACATTTTATTTCCTCGTAAGGAAAAGGTTATCGAAGGAAAAGTTATTTGTGTTGATCATTTACTTTCTCGTCGCTAGAGCGTTTTCTCAATATGTGAATTCCGTGAATTGATCTCATCCTTAAGAAGTCATTATTCTTTGTTAATTCATTTCTCTTACCTTGCCTGCAACGGGACTTCTCTTCGAACCGTCCTTACATTGAATTGTTGGTACTTTGAATCTCCCATATTTCTCGCAATTTCTCTATTAATTTATTTAATTCATTGCTGCTCTTCTTGACGGCCCCTTTTATATGTTATTAGTTTATTGCTAGTGCCCGAGACTCAACTTTTTTGTGCCTGTAAAACTAAAAGGACATCATCAAATTCAATTAATTCCAACAATTGCAACTTGATTCTTTACGCATTCCATATTGAAAAGAATTGTGGGAAATAGTTGGCTAACACGTCTTTCTATTTCATTCACACCAAAGCTCGTTAGTTAGCTCTCGATCTTTCCATTGAAAAGCAACAATGATGTAGATGTGAGTGTACTAGGAAAATTTTTCTTTTGATGGATTTCCATATGGATGCAAATATATACTTCATATACTTTAAATATTGCAATTTTTGGTATTTCATTTTAATTCTAAGAGCATGTTTGGTTGTTTTTAAAAAGTTAAAAACATATATATATATATATATATATATATATATATATATATGCCCCGTTTATGGCGCCAATTTATTTATTTTTTCTTTTTTCCACCGAGAGTTTCATATGTATTCGAGTGTTAAAATTCTCTTCGTTTTTCTTAATTGAATTGTTCAAACAACATCAATCACAATTCATAGTCTCTAACATATTGTGTCCATATTCGAGTCTCATCATTTAAAAACGAAACTCATTGGTTTCTCAAATTCTATTTTAATTACACATTCTTCTAATAAAATAATTTTATATGTAAGCTCAAAACTTTTTAACCACAAATTCTTTAAAAAAAAATCACTATTATAAAATTTATTTTACCAAAAAATTCCCTCAAACAACCCAATGTGTGATATAGATGGTACGAGTTTGGAGATTGCGTGATCCTTGTTAAAAATACACCTACCTTTTTCGAATAACAAGATAAGTTCAAAGGCAACATATAATCAAGTTGCAAGATATGAATTCAACCTTTGTTTGGTGTAGCTAAAAATCAAGATTTTTTTGTAAATTTTGATAAAAGTTGGTGAAATATGCAATTGAAAAGGTGCGAATTTCATGTTTAATTATTAAATTTGACTTAAGTTTTTTAACAAAATCTTAATCAATTCCAAATAAGGGCTTAATTCAAATGCACAACTATCCTATCCTTGCTCTATTTGTTGACTATGTTGGGGACTACTTTGGTTGCATAAATGGTGATATTGAAGAATATGGTGACTTTCATGCTGGTTTCAATTCGAAGTATCCTTCCTTCTCTTATGATTTGGGACATCACTCTTAAAAAAAAGTTAAACCCTAACTTTAAGGGCCTCCCACCACCCCTGCTCTGAAGTATCGTGAGAGAGGTAAATCGCAAGTTATGCCTCCAAGGAGAAGGATGAAGACACTAGAAAGTAGGGTTCCTCTTAAATTTGACTAATAAATCTCTATTTGGTAGGAATTAAAATTAAAATTTTAATTTAAATCAAAATCAATAATTAATTTTAACAATACATTTAAAGTTTTCACAATTTTTCAAACATATATTTCATCAATTTTTATCAAAATTTATTAAAAATTTAATTTTAATCTCTCAAGACAAGGGATAAATCTCATATCATTTCTCATGTATTTTCCAAATAATTGGGATAAAGTTTACTGTATTTCATTTATGGCTTGTTCATGGAGGTCAAGTCTAATCCCCTTCTAACTTGTAAAACCTTCAACTCCTCTGAGTGGTTATGACTAAGAAAAAAAAAAAAAAATTATTTGTCGGCAAAAGCAATTTTGTTTCACAAAAAAACTTAAACCCCAAAAAAAGCTGTAACTGTTCTAAGGTAAGCAAGATGTCAGCCAAGTGGTTTCAAATAAACACGTGGCAGTCAAAGTGGGACCCGAAAGGGATTTTTCTGTCAAATGCTTCCTCTTCCCAGCACACGCATTAGACAAGAACCGGACGGCGCGGTTGTAGCGCCGTTACGTACTGTTACTGATTTTTATGCTTCTTCAATCTTTACCTTTTAAAAATATAATAAAAGGCATGTGGGTCAGACGTAGTGCTGACTGCTGAGGTGACAAGTTCTTCTTCCGTTACGTTTGACATAATCAAATCTGACGTGGCAGGTTTTCATTGCAAACTGAAATGAAAGGCTTTGAACGCTGAGCGTCTGGTTTTGACTTTTTTTTTCCTTGCCTTCGATTGGAAAATGAAGATGGGCGTGATAAAATAAAAAATTCTATTTACATTTTTTATTTCTTAAAAGGCCCATAGAATTCATTAAATAAAAAATGATAGGTTATGGTACTCAGTGGATAGTATTTTCTCACCTTGATAGGTTTTACCCACTCCTCGATAGCTCCCAACTTGCTTCGACAATCGACAAGTTCCCAACTTTCATTTCACCAAAGACTCTACTTGTCGCTTGGTGTTTGGTCTGCTATATGCAATTCATCTAGAGATAAATGATCAGAGAAATTTGGAGGTCTAGATCTAAGACTATTAGAGGAGCAAAATAGTGTGTGTATGTATGTGTGTATATAGCAACTTACACAAATAGTTTAACAATTATGTCGCTAACTCTGACACATACTCGGTGAAATAGAACTCCATGAAAATTTAGAGTACCAACAGCATAAAATCCCATGCAACATAGTGTGTGAGTCGAGTAGCGCTATCAAATGGTCACTCCGGAATTCATTAGGGTTCATAAAGTATCACACAACAAAAATAGATCCTTTCAACCCGTCATAATTACTTCAACTAATTAATCTATCTACGTCTAAACTCATTTTGGTAAGAAAAATATATGATACTTTGGAGGGAGACATAAGCCTAGACTGTCAAAGTCTGAATATATATAAATTAAATAATGAAAGACAAATGACTTCTACAAACGAGGTTGCACAATGAAATTTTGTTGTGGAGTCACAAGAGTGAGGGCACATATTTTCTTCTCAAGGATAGAAACTTTATGCAGACTCAAAGTTCACGAAATGAGTATTGAAAGAAGTATTGACGATATTATAGACAAATAAGAAAATCTCTATCCAATACAAAGCCTCCCTTCGTATAAACAAAAGTTAATAAATTCATTTTTCTATATAGTTAAAGTCAAACATTTAGAACTACTATCTGCTTATAATCATCAAATTTCGTGAGATCAACTACTATTCATCCTAAACAATTACGAATAATTTTATAATGGCAAAGGTAAAATAAAACGGTAGTTAGCACCTATGCCAAAATCAAGCGATAGCTATCAATAAAGTAAATACACGAATAGTGATAATAGATATTCTCTCATATATAATTAGGTATTTATAATTTTTATTTATACTAGATTATATACATCGATAAATGATCTCTTAAAAGTAGAGCTCGTATATGAATCTATGGAAAAAATAAACTTCTTTTTCTCAAATTAATAAATAAAAACTCAACCTCGTTAATTCTTTAAATATTAGGAAAAATTCCTTGAACTGGATTAAGGCTAGTTTGTTAGGACCGCTGCTAATGTTTCTCTGTAAAAGAATTTTTTGAAAAAGTTACATTAAGTCAGATTTCTTTAAAACTTCTTTTAGTTAGATAAAGCACTTTCACAAAAGTTTTTAAACGTGTTCAAAAACAAATTTTTAATTTTAACAACAATTTTTGACTTTTCAAAAATCCGCCAAAACGGACCCTAAATATGCTATCTACCTCTGAAAATCGTTTGTATCAAATGTAATGATATGTTTAAAAAAAAAACAGAAGTCATTTTCGACGTCAAAAGATGGTGAGACAAATAGATGTAAAGTTGGTGTCTTTTGTCCTCTACGCAGCTTAAAACCCGCAGTGAGCCTAATCTAGAACACTCTCATAAACACGTTTCAATTTCTAATGTAGTGTTAGTCTCTCTCTCTCTCTCTCTTTCTCTCTCTCTCTCTCAATATGTAGAGGTGTGTATATTACTATTACATATATACACATTCTAAGAAAACATAAAGTTTGCTAGCAAAATTCACGAGTTGAAGGAAGATAAGTAAAAAAGGGAAGTTGGTTTATCTCATGTTTGCTTCACGCAAGCAGCTATATCGGGTTTGCTTCATCGCGTGGCTTTAAAGATTTCATTTAGTTTTTAACACCCCCACTCCATCCCCAAAAACAAATATCACCAAACCCTAGAAATTCCACCCTCTCTCTATTTATCTAGTTTTTCTTCGAGAACCCTTTTCAAAAAACTGTATTACTGTGATGTTCTGTGCCATCGAGGATAAACATACAAGAAAATGAGTGTAAACCCTAGTGGAAATAACAACGGCTGTGGAGGCAGCAGCAGTGGAAGCAGTGGCGGTACTGGTGGTGGAGGAGGTGGACCATGTGGGGCATGCAAGTTCTTGAGGAGGAAGTGTGCGGTTGGGTGCATATTTTCACCATATTTTGATTCAGAACAAGGTGCAGCACACTTTGCAGCTGTGCATAAGGTGTTTGGAGCCAGCAATGTGTCAAAGCTTCTTCAACACATTGCAGCAAACAAGCGGCTGGACGCAGTGGTTACGATATGTTATGAGGCTCAGGCGAGGCTTAGAGATCCTGTCTATGGCTGTGTTGCCCACATCTTCGCCCTTCAACAACAGGTAATTATACTCCTATCTTGTTTCATAAAAATTATGAGTCCGTATTAAATAAGTTAAAATCATGTCTATTAAAGTACCAATCATGTCTAGTACTGTTGTTAGGCATTCGAGGATGCCTTTTGGCTTGATCTTAGACCTTGACGCGTCCTCCATTTTAGCAAAAATGACTTAGATGTCCCTAGCTACAATAAGTAGTGGCTTATTCATGGTTTATCCTAAATGAAAATCTATCTTATCATGATTGGTGAACTTAGGATATATTAATCCCTTTCCTTCCGTTACAAACTTTCTTTTTGCTTCGTGTTTTATCCTTTTACCAGCTGAACTCCACAATATTGATCATACACATTTGTATATATACATCTATATGGAAGATTTTTTTTATTTTTTATTTATGTGCACACACTTATCAAATTAATAGTGACAAAAATTTACGCAGATTGTTAACCACCACAATCAGCGGCGGAGCCAAGTTGGGGCTAGTTGGGAAGGGGGTGGGGGTCCTAGACCCCCACTGAATTCGAATTTTGGCTCCGCCACTAATCGCAAAAATCCTTCTCTAATCATGCGACAACGAAATTACATATACAATGTTAGTAAGCTAATATAATATTAGTCTGATTAAGCTGTCATTGAGTAGGTTTAAAGGTTTGAGTTGTTTTATGTATCTTGGATCTGGTTCTAGGGATCATTCCTATATATATGAATGAGGGTAAAGGAATTAAGTGGAGGCCATGATGTGGTGCATTGGGGGAACAGTTTTTAAGTTTTGCTGAAATCAAGAAACCTGTTGGATTTGATTATGTTATGATATGGTTTGTACTGATGCACTTTTTCATGGGCAAATTCTATGATTTTGCAGTTATTAAGGAGATGGTCTGTCATTCTGGGTTCCTCGGTTTAATATATTAAACTATTGAAAAACTATTGCCCCAAATTTTCAAGAAGCACCATTTGTGGTTTCTCAAATTTTTAGTTCGCGAGAAAACATGAATTACTATTACTCGATTAGGAGGGGACTGACTCTACCTCCAACTAATGAAAAATATAGGGAACAAATTTAATCAAGTCCTTAGGCAGCAATCGAACTTGATAGGAAAAGAAGATTATGCACTTCATTCTATCTACTCTTACTCTTCATTCTCATATGCTAGTATAGAATCTCTGTGGTTCATTGTCGCTTTCATATTCAGTGCCGGGTGGTAAACGTGTAAAATTATAACTAGTTCGACCCCAAATAACGTGTTTAATTTAATTCAATTTATTTATTATTATTATTTTTTTTTGGGTATTGGTGTTACAGGTGGTGAATTTGCAGGCCGAGCTCACTTACTTACAAGCTCACCTTGCGGCGCTGGAGCTTCCAACACCACTGCCGCCGCCACCTCCACTTCCATCACTGTCGCAACCACTATTAGTACCACCTGCCACCCTTTCTATATTAGACTTGCCAACAGGGCCACCAACTTATGATTTATCATCACTATTTGATCCAATAATGACAATGCCGCCAAGGCAAATCGATCGTCGTCTATTTGGTGCCACCAGAGGTCCGCCTGAGATATCATCATCATCTAGAGGCGGGGGTGGAGGCGGCGATCTTCAAGAACTGGCATGTGAACTACTGTACAGAGGTGAACCCCCAACAGTGTCGTGCTCAGAAACTTCATCTTTACCACCCCACTCTAAAGGAAACTGACAATGGTTATAGTTTTCCTAGCGATTGCTCTGGTCGAAAAGACAAGTGATGGTGTCAAAATCCGTCAATACTCAAATTTAACTTATATTTTTGCTATCATATTTGGCAGTCAAGTAAGTTCTATGACTCGATTTTTGTAATTTTTTTAGGTTTAATTTACTCATTTGGAACACTAACTCAAGCACATGTCAGTTTATATATGAGGAGGATTTTGTTTGCTGGAATTACTATATATTATGATCTTGAATTAGTGCAAAAGTTACTTAGTATTAGAATGTTTGGTGGAGATTAAAAGTAGATTTTGATAAAAGTTAATGGAATATATAATTAAAAAGTTGTGGGTTTCATAAAATATATAATTAAAATTAATTGTTGATTTTGATTTAGATTAAAATTTAAATTTTTAATTCCTACCAAACTCGCAGGGCCGGTCTTGGCCTAAGGCCAACTAGGCCATGGCCTAGGGCCTCTAATTTTTTGAGGGCCTCATAAAAAAACATTCAGCCCACATATTTACAACAAACACCAAAGCCTGAAAAAATCCATGGATTTTAGCTAGGGAATTCTCTGCCACTGAAGAACTCCAGGAAAGAAGAGAATGGTTTCAAAGCCAATATGGAAGAAAATTGAAACTCCAAGGGATTGTTTGGCTATTTATGTCCTGGACCTTGAAGATGGAAGACATAGTGAAAAATATTTCTAAGGCCAACTTTCATCTGTGTAATTTGTAATTGAATTCTTGATTTTTAGTTTCATTTTTTGAATTCTTGCCCTTGATTCTCTGTTCTTGATTCTTGAAAATATATTCTTTTTCTTGATTTTATTTTATTTTATTTATTTATTTATTATTATTTTTTTAAACTTTTTATTTAAAAAAAAAATATGTTTAAGGGCCTCGTATATAATTTGTCGCCTGGGGCTTCAAAATTTTCAAGGCCAGCCCTGCAAACACGGGCATATATCTCTTTTCATTAAGAAAAATAAATTATCACAAGTAAAAATATTAAAAACTCGTATAAAATTTAGAATATTATTATAGTGTTGAACATAATGGGAATTGAACCCCTTTGCTACGGTCAGATGGATGGAAAATACAGTACTTCAATGCAGAAACTTGCTAGGAGTTTTTCTCTTTAAGTGTTATAGGATCGTAAAAATTACATCTCGCTGAGTTTTGATTTTGAAAAATTACATTATTTGGATCTTCATATTTGATGTTATTCTTGCGAAAATTATAGAAGCAACCTCTATCATGTTCAAAATGTCTCAAGTGGGTTCATAAGTAGTTTTTTGAGCCAATTCTTCTTTATTTAGGTCCATTAATTAAAATGTGTGATTGAAAATAAAATTTAATTATGTATAGATGATTTATAAATTATGACAAATATAGACTAAGATAGAAGTAAAAATGTGTGTGTGTGTGCGCGCGCGCGGTTTTTTTTTTTGAGGGGGCGTGAGACCATATTATGCCTCAAATAAGCTTCAAACAATTGAAGGACAAACATAACTAGAAACGAAATGAGAAGACAATAAAAACTAGAAAATGAAAAGGAAAAAAATCATTTGTTTGGAGGTATTTGGCATCTGAGGTGGAGAGATTTTGATGGGAATAGTAGGGGCCCAGATGCACGCCTTATTTTGGCTCCCCAATTATCTCCTATTACATGTTTGTTATACAATATTAAATAGGTTTGAACAGTAAAATAAACGAAATTTTAAAATCTTGTTACTAAACATGTACTTAGGCGTGAACTTGGACTGAACGTTACTCGAACTTTAATATCCCATTGTGTATGTTCCTCTTTTCCTCCGTGTTTTGGTATGAAATTTAGGGGGAAATTTTGCTAATGCACTTCTTCTGTAATGCATAATGGATTATAGGAGTTTGCTACATGTACTCGGGTGTTTACACGCCTCTCATATGGGGAGTAGGTTCCACGCATTTATTACGCATTTATTGTGCACGGGCCTCGCCCCCAATGTGAGGGGCGGGTAACCGGGCGTATAAACGCCCGGGTACAAATAGATTAATCCTGGATTATATTCGTGTATTTTTGTTTTTGTTTTTGTGTATATCATTTGATTTAGAAGTATGTCAGCCACCGGCCTCGAGCCTCATATGAACATGTTTATGACACGATTTATTATTTTTCTTTGACTTGGTTCAATACCAAAATTTTGTCCAAATTGCCGAATTGCTCCATTTCTAAGATGAAGAATTCAATACACTGCCGGCAGATAGTAGTTGCCGAATTGTACGTTGTACAAGACATGTTATAATATTATTTTCTTTCAGGCATGGGCATAAAATTAATTGCAAAAGCTACGACGATAATTAAAGTCATTTTTATTATTTCATGGACATTGGCCAACGATATACCAAGTAAGGAACAATTACCTTTGGCGTGCTCGTAACCTCAGCATGGAGAGTTCGATTTCTGGTGGGAACCTGTGATGCAATAAAGGGGCAATTTATTGGTGGATCAATCACTATGGAGGAAAGCTCTCTTGAAGCCAGGAGTTTGGACCGGGTGTGAACCTATGATCCAACAAGGGCACAACCTGCGGTTTACCTCCGCTAGTCATCGAGGGGCCGGTGGCTAGGGGTCCAAGATTTAGTCTGACGAAGTTGGGACACTTGGGTATCAAAAAAAAAAAAACGAGAAAACTATAGATGTACTAGGATGAATGATCTTGGACATTGGCCAGTAGAAATTGTGAAATTATTGTGGGACAATAGTTGTAGAATTATT